TTACAGAGGATACAAGTTCTTGGATGGCAGATGATTGTTGAACAAGCCTCCAAGTGGGAGATTGTTGAAGATGGAGCCTTGTTTGTGCAGAAGCAGAAGATACCCGACCGGGTGGGGTCAGTCACCCGATCGGGAATGTGAATTTGGCCGGGCAACTCTCTGGATTGGGAAACCCGATCGGGTAAGGAGGTTTACCCGACTGAGTCCGTGGATGTTTTGGCTTCTGTTTAGCATACCCGACCTGGTGTCTACCCGGGTATGCCTTTTGAGGCGACACCCGACTGGGTCAAGAAGGGGACCCGACCGGGCCAGTGGAGTTTCTACCTTTCTGCTTTGGTTATCCGCCCTGGTCTCAACCCGGGCATGCTTGCTGAGGAGTTACCCGACCGGGTCAAATAGGAGACCCGACCGTGTCTAAGGGTTAATTTTAATTACGGGCTTAATTTTTGGGCCTGCGGCTCTAATCTTTGTTTAGGTTTTCTTAAACCTATTTAAGCATATCTTGTACGTTGTAATACCCCTTGACGCAGACCTAATAATAAAACAGCTTTCTCTCGTTCGCCGTGGACTAGCACAATCACCCCGATTGTGTGAACCACGTCAAATTCTTGTGTTCTTTCTCTTTAATTTATCGTTTTATTAACCTAAATCGTAACAAAGATCACATATAAATAAAGAGAAATTTACCCAAATAAGACCAAGCCTTCTTAAAATTGCAAAAATAAGACACATAAGTTTCCTCCAACGCGCGTAGGACTAATTTTGCGCTAAATGGACAAAAATAATCTTTCTAACCGCAACACACATACGATAACCTCATTGACGGTTAATCCATCCCATTAAGGCAATTCCCGGTTTCCAAGTTCCATTTTCATCATGGCCGCCGAAAAAAAAGATGCCAAACATTAAATGAAGATTTACCGCTGAAACAGTCAGTCGACATAACTCATTTGTTCAAAACTCTGAGTCTGTAAAACTTCTTACGGTTGAAGGAGAATCGTTTAGTAGAGGACATTAGCTTCGTTGACGAGAGTCGCTTCGTTGAGGACAATTGAAGGTCACCACTCCCAAGGCCCAATAAGCTGCCACTAGTTCAAAATATGGACCAGGCCTACTTCCAGCAGTACCAGTCCACCCCTAACGTACCAGCACGCACATCCATAACGGCCAAGGCATTCAACAGCCACACCAAGAAGAAATATCTTCCTCCACAGGGCACGACTACATCGGCCCTAGCAGCCAATAATCATTTCAACGGCTAGTCACACCACAAAGTGTGCCCATATTGGCTTAACACGCTGCCAACAACTGGGCCCCTTCAACGGCCACAACAGCAAAGCAAAAAACAACCCAACAACCATCGACCTTTGATGGGCACTAGTTGTTAGTGCCTAAGTATACATTTTTATTATTGTTTGTAATGTTTATTTACTAGTTTTGTGTAAGTTTATAGTTGCTAGTTTGCATTTGATTGTAATCGTATTTTTAGCATTTTATTGTTTGTTGTAAGTTGTAGTTAGTTGAGTTATAAGTTTAGGATAGGTTTGGAAGCAAAAAGGATGAAGAAACCTGAGTTTTGTGCAAAACTCGGTCGGGTATGGACTTTACCCGGCCGGGTATGAAGTGACAAAGGAAATTGCTACAAAATTAGCAAATACCCGGTCGGGTATTCCATATACCCGGTCGGGTATTCTGTGATTTCGGACCAAAGAACGTGCAGAAGACACAAAAACATGGGAACATATTTGATTTGGTAAATACCCGGTCGGGTATGTCAAAATACCCGGCCGGGTATCCGGCATTAGGTGTTGAAAACACCTATAAATAGCCCCATTTTCCTTCACATTTCATCATCCCTTCTTCCATACTCTTTAGCTCAGTTTAGAATAGAATTTCTTTATATTTTTCTAGCTATGTTTAGTCTCCAAATGAGGAGCTAAACTTCCATTCTTGGTGTTGCTCTTGAAGCTTGTTGATTATTAAAGTTGTGAGTTATTTTCTTAACTTCTTTCCTTGAATATTAATTAATAGTTCTTTCCTTAATACCATCTCTATATTAATGTTGGGGAGTGTTGCTAAGATGACAATTAGTTAACATCTCGACATTAGTTAGAATGGTATTTTCTTCCTCTATATTAATATTGAGGAGTGTTGCTAAGATGACAATTAGTTAACATCTTGATATTAATTATAGTAGGATTCATCTTCATTAATAATATTCTTCCTTGAATATTAATTAATCCCTACTCTTATTTCATATTAATATTTTGAACATTACTTAAAGGATCAACTACTTTTGTTTCATATATTAATTATTACTAGAAACGATCAACGAACCGATGGTTAATCGTTGATGGTTTCACAAGTAAGTAACTTCGGTTTATTAATGCACGGTCGTGGTTAATAAACTTAAGAGGGATTAATTTTGTTGGTTAAACCGAAACCGCTTGTGTTGAGGTTATCAATCTCAATTGATTTCATCAAGGAGTTAGAAAGATTAAATGCTACTATTAAATCGGTATAAGGCGTTGTTCTATATTTGATTAATAGTAAGGGTTATTAATGAACGGTCGTTGTTAATAACTACCCTCGATGAAGTGGATATACTCCCCGATTGAGTATTCGAGAGGGAATAAGTTATAGATATAACAATGATCGACTAAAATATATCAACAAGTGGAAAGTAGCAATGCCAAGTCCTTTTTATCTTTGAATTAAACACATATAGGTTGTTCATCTTAGTTCTTAATTAAATTAAATCACTCAATCCAAATCCCCCCTTTTTATTTACTAAGTATCATAAAAAGAGAATTATTCCTTTCCCTGTGGATACGAACTCTACTACGCTATACTACGTATAAGTGTTTAGTATTGAATTTAATTTAACGCACCGGGACAAAGTGCCCGTCAACCTTGTATAAAACCCTGACGATAACTTCTTGAAAGTGACATGCGTCCAAGGGTTCTCCCACAGGGTTACCTTGGTCAGAAATCGCCAAGGGGTTGGATTCAGGGGAATACAAGATCCCGCTTCGGCCTAGGGTTACACCTTACTCCTTCACCTCTCGCTCACTCTTCGACCTCAAGCAGTGGGGGACTGGGGGACTACATCGACCTCTGGATTGCAAGAAAGGACAAAATCGAAAAATCCAAAAACACTCAAGTCCACAACTACAACAAAAGTATGATATGTATGCACCATAATGGTGCACCCTCGGCCGCAACAAAGTCAGCAAACAAAGAAGTATAACTTCTCCCAAAACGTGACACATGTCGTCCCTTGACGCGCGCCACTCAACGGCTTTGAGATCACGTACTCCACTCTCGGCCAAGATGAGAAAACGGGAACACAACGTTGTCGGGTCATCATCGTCCATAAGATCAAGATACGCACTCCTTCTGAGTCAGCGCCGCTATCGTCCTCAAAGGTGGACACCAAACTACGAATATCACCGCTTCGGCCTGAAGCACGAAAGCAATCATGAGGCCTCCTCGGCCAAGACACCAAAAGCAATCGCCAATGACCAGAAAGAAGAAACATCACCCTCATCGGCTATTCAAATCAAGAGCACATATCGGCCACTGAGCCAGGACACTCATCGTCCTCAAACAAACAAACTTACCCCATCAGAGGAACACCAGTCTTCTTCGTCCACAGTGAACCAAAACAGGAAATGGCCACAACGGCCAGAAGACATCAAGACCATGGAATCTACTCTCCCTCACTTCGTCTACATCTCAGCTTAGAGAGTGGGGGACTCTTGATGGAGTATATGGGTCTAGATCCCAGGACCCACATACTCAGAATAATAAGAGGCACAGCTGTCACCCAGTGGGACCTCCGTCGGCCAGGTGGCCCTCCATCGGCCAGAAAGATATGAACTCAGAACATGGTCCAAAAGCCAGGAGAACCGGGTGACCCCGTCGACCACGTCTCCATCGGCCATGGCTCCGTCGGCCAAACCCTCGTCGGCCACAGAGAGCTCCCAGAACCAGACTTCACACTTAATTACTTCTACATATTTTGTACTCTGCCCAATAGTGACCCAATTGTAAACGGGCCTCCTAAGCCCAAGACTTGGTAGACCGACCCTAATTTCCTCTATAAATACACCCCTTGAGAGTAGTTGTAGGGGTTTACAAATCATTAATGTCAAACATTTATTGCATTTCTCTTTCTAGCTCTTACTTTTCTCTAGGAATTAATTAGCAACCGTAATAGTACTATTAAGCTTCTTCTGTGCGTATCACTGTGAATATATGTTTATATTTGTTTGTGTGTGATTATATTCTTAGGCTCCGGTTGATTGCATTGCAAGTAGTGAAGCTGTGAAAATTGTTTTAACATTTCAGGGAATTGAAGTTAAGTTGTCTATGTTTAGAGTAGTGTTTGATACACGAAAACAAGAAGGATCAAACTGCTTCATGAATATGACATCTAGTTTTTAGAAGGGGGTGTTATTTTCCACAAAAGCCTAAAAAATCATGAAATTATGTTCTTTAGGAAAATATTTTCTGATTGCAAACATGGGATACATAAAGAAGACATTTTTATGTACGAATGCCGAAAAACGCTTTACAGGAAAGAAGCGGAACCTAAAATGTTTTGGTGTATTTTTTAATGATACTTGTTTCACCCATACTCTGAAGTCTGAACAGCTGCATTGGTTATTTGCAGAGGTGTAGTACCAGCTGATAATATCAAACCTTCTCAGGATGAAAATGAAGCGGAGATAATTAATGAGCTCTCATTTACGGAATTGAGGGATAAACTACTTGCTTTGGACCCACTGAACACGGATCTTGTAAGGAAAGTTAATCTTGCAGAGGCAGAGTTTTGGAGAGAGTCAGAAGCGTACAGGGTAGGATGGATTGATGAAATTTTGGGCTTTGATTGTGGTGGTCATCAGTGGGTATCCGAAACTTGTTTTCTAAACTAAGCATGAAAGACTTGGAATACATAGAGCACCTGAAGCAGCTTATAGAGAAAGAAAGAATACCTTCTCCTGCACCCATTGAGCAGAGATGGACAGCTTATAGAGCACACTTTTCTTTCCAACATGAAGGATATCAAGAAAAATCACAAGTAGTCCTCCATTCTCTAGAGTTGGTGATCAGGTTTTGCATTTCCTTTTATTGCATTTGTATGTAATGTGTGTGTATTTTGTATTGCTATCATTTATTTTCACTCGTTTTCCTATCCCATGCCACAGCTTCACATTATCATATGTAGTACTCAGTATATATTAGCAATCCTATGTGAGCAAGTGTAACTATTGGTACATAATTATGGGCATATGGGAGCTAATTAACAACAGTAATAGTAATATTAAGCTTCTTCGGCGTATATCACTGTGAATGTAGGTGTGATTAAGCTTTTTCGGCATTTATATGTGTTTGTGTGTGATTATATTCTTAGGCTCCAGTTGACTGCATTGCAGGAAATGAAGCTGTGAAAATTCTTTCAACATTTCTGGGAAGGTAAGTTGTCTATGTTTAGAGTAGTGTTTCATACACAAAAACAAGAAGGATCGAGCTATGTACAAAACAAGAGTGGTAAAGTGTATTGGTGATGTTCAAAATATGGAGAGGGTACATTTTAATAATTCTTCTAGTATGTTTTTTTTTATTGAAATAATTTATACTTAATTTCAAGTACATTTTTATGATCGGGTGGATATATTTTGATTGAGTGGGTTTGTATTTTTACCGAACTGTTTATTAACGTGTTGATGGGTGACCAAGTTTACTTGGTTGAACATTTTTCACTCCTACAAATATTAGCTAATTTTCGATTTATTTATGCTAACAAATATTTTAATTAACTAGCACTTGAAATTTCTTATTACTTTTAGGTGTACAAGAACACTTCAAGAGATGAGCCGTTGCCAATTGATGAAATCGGTGACGTTCGAGACGTATGGGTCATCTATGTTTGTGATAATATTTTGTAAACTTTATACTAGGTAGCTACTAGCTAGACATGTAATGCAAGTATTTTTCAATTAAACTTTTTATCGTATTGGATATGTTTGGTGATTTTTGTTCTCAACAAGTAACATTATTGGCACTTCGTTAATGATATGAAAGACTTGTGAATTTGATATGAGCAGGGTATGTTTTAGTACAATGGATATTAGTTGTGCATTTTTTGGTATTAAAAAAAATTTGGGTGTAATGCTCACAATTAAAAGTTCACATTTGCGGCGGTTCTGGGATACCCGCCACAAATAAGTTGAAAAATATTCAACTATTTGTTGCGGTTATGAACCGCAACAAATGTAAAATATTCATAAAATTGCTTCCCCCTTAATTGCTGCAGTTCAGAACCGCAGCAAATGATAAAAAATAACCGCAACAAATGAGAGTTTTTCTAGCAGTGCACTCACTTTAATGAGTTGACCGAGCTTTATAGCTTATGGAAAGAATCATAGCTTAGCATGCTACATAAATATCCTGCATGCAACCTTTATGATAATTGACCGCAGCATATTTGGATCCACTAAGTAAATATTTCCTTAACACTTAATGTTGAGAAGTCATTATTAGTTAAAATATTAAATGAATATTTTTGGAAAGAATCTTGACTTGCCTACATGATTGCATGATCTATAGTTGTCGAGCGCACCTTATTTAAATACCTTCCTTCTATGATCGTTGCATATTCAAATTTGTTAGGAGAACTAATCATTGATTGCATAAATATTTTATTGCTACATAATGTCCGTTGCATGCCTACATGTTAAGTAAATTAATATTATTTCCTTATATGATGATTCATGAGTTGGGGTGACTAGTGGAGTTTATCTTGTAACCACAAAAGACTTTATAGTGAAGTTGTTAAAATTCCTTCGATGGATGTCGAGGTTTTTTACTTTATAGTGAAGTTGTTAAAATTCCTTCGATGGATGTCGAGGTTTTTTAATCCCTTTTGAGCCAAGAGATTTTTCCTCGCTAAATACTTTTGTACTTGTTTATTTCATTTCTTCCTAGACCCCGCACTAGAACTTGGCGAAAAACTGCCACGGTTCCACACACACAATTCACCCCTTACTTTTGAAAAAATTGAAAATATTAAAAGTCATAATTTTGTTTACTCTATCTTTGTTAAAGATGTGACGCAAAATTAGCCTCATCATGATTAACACGAAAGCCGACCACAAAAAATCGAAACAAAAATCCTGAATACATACATACATATTGATATATGTAGAGGGGGTAGCATATATAATAGCATGCATGTAAAGAAAACAACAAATTGATGGTATACATATGATCTATGAATACTTAGACAGGAGCTTGAATTCAACTTCCACAATGAGCGAATCTTTAACAAGGAACTCATTCGATGAACTTTCCAATTCGCTAAGTTTCATAAATTTGGGACGGCCCCAGCCTATGGTATCGACAAAGAAACGACCCACTACTGCACGATTTAAATAAGATACGTTATTTTAAGAACAAAACTATGTTAATATAGAAACGATTAGACAAGCTTTTAGTAGAACCAAATTCCACGCCAAACCTTCTGCTTCCTTATGTTGCAGGATGTTCACTTGATTAAGAATGCGTAAAATAAACTTGGCATATATTTTTCTACCACGAGCAATAAGGTCTTCAACATCAAGGAACGCTAGAAAAAGAGACAAATATTGGCTGCTTGCTCTCGAATCTCCACTCGGATACAGAAACAGTTTCCTGATCATCAATTTCATACACGGCGTTGGCAATATACTTTACATGTCAATTTGACTTTTGTGTACCGTTTGTGTTGCCATTATTTTCTAAAAATCACACGGTTTTAAATATTTATTATGTAAACCAATCTTTCAACCATGCACATTAGAACATATATTCAAAATTATTTGCAAATCATATTACTAGTGAGTAATATAATATATTAATGTTATATAATATAATATAATATATTATATTCAAAATTATTTTTCTTAATAATCATACCACGTACTAATGTATTAATGTTAGTGGGAGGGAGGGAGATAATATAAATTAATACTTCATTCTTGTTTTAAAATGTTGTTATCTTTGACTTTCTTGACTTCCAAGAGTGTTCAACTTTTTTTTGAAAGACCAGTAGTGTCAAACCGTGGTCCATGATTATTGTTCATATATTTTTTGGCAGTTACGAGATTTATAATTTCATGAAAGCTATTTTGGTGATGAACATTTTCATATCATCATTTTTCATATGATAAATAATTATGTATATAAATATGTAAAATTTTGTTCATTGATTAAGTAAGTTAAAGATGACTAATATGAATTGAATTGTAAATAAATAATTGACACCATTAAATTTCCAAAGTAGTAAGTAAACCATTGAACAGTAATACTACTCTCTCCCATCTCGAAAAAGTTCACCAAATTTACTTTTTTGTAAATGACAATCGACTTTGACTAATAATATTTTTAATATGAAATTTACAATAATTTGGAGAATTGAGGAGTGACATTTACAATCTAAGAAATACAGGACTGAGATTTTAATTTCGTGGATAACTGAGGGACCATATATGCGATTTCCCCTTAAAAATATTTTCATAGAAGTATAAAATTTATAAATTATATACAAATATTATAATTAAAATAATTGTCCAAAGTTAGTCATTATTAATCAAGAAAAATCAATATGGCGAATCTTTTCGAGAGAGTCGTAGCTCAGGACTTTACCATTTGCTTCCTTCAACGGTGAACTGATCGGAGCAAATGTACTCCTGTTGCTTTTCTAGTGTGAAGTTGTTGATTGTCCACATGTAAGTTCCCTCCTTAATTGGTTCCTTCACCAAAGAAAGGCATTCATGTTTCGTAGCACTTGAAACGGAGAGAATCTCAAACCCGAAAGCACACGTGTCATTGACTAGATATCCATTACAAGGATCATTGAAAGTAGACCAGGGAAGCAACCTATCAAAACCATGTTCAGTTTTCATGCAGTTGAACCGCCTTGTTTTCCCACCGGCATCTGTGCAAGAGCATAAGAGCATCAAGTATAATGGCTTTAAATAGTTGTACTCAAATTTTGTTGATGTACCATTTAGCTCTCTAGTACATGCGTAGGAGTCACAATTTTGCTGTGACAGCTTTCTCATCAAATCGACAAATCATATTCAATTTCTTGCCTTTTGATTTCATAAAAAATCTCATTTGATCTTGTATGTAATTAAAATGTGATTTCTCAGTTTACTTTTTCAAGAAATTATTTTCTAGAATAATATATATATATATATGTGTGTGTGTGTGTGTGTGTGTGCGCGCGCGCGTGTGTGTAGTATATTCTAGATGGTGGATGCAACATCTTCCGGAGACCTTCGCTTTCCCATTAAGTGCCCCTCCAAGGTTCTCAAGCTGGTTCCGCCACTGGTTTCATGTATACGAATAGGAGGTAACACGTTTTTCTTGACATTGTCCAATATAGAACTAAAAACATACTACAAAAAAACTACTTGATTGACATGATTTTGAGCCAAATAACTCGTGTCTAAATGCTTTTAACACGAATTTGACATGTCTCTGCCAAACCCTCTATGATTTTTTTTGAATCTCAGTCAAAAATCATTGATAATCCCGTATTTTTTTGTAGTGACACACAATTTAAAGTTCAAATATACAAATAAGTATGTTCGTATAAATTGCTTAACATGGGATTAAAGCATACACGAAGTACAAAAATTGGACTAAGTACTACCTTCGTTCTCTTTTAGTTCCAACATTGATGAATTTACTCTATTCACATATTCTACTTTATTTACATTTTATTAATTACTCCCTCCGGTCCTAAATAAATTTCACACTTTCCATTTTGGGTAGGTCAAAAATAAACTTCACACTTCTTCTCCCTTCCTTATTGGGCAAATTATCTACATCAAAACAGTGTCGAGCAGTGCCGAGCAGCGCCGAGCAGCGCCGAGCAGTGCCGACTAAAATAAAGTGGGCTGGGGGCATGTCCCTGCTCCACCTTTCCACTCCCACTCCGGCGGCAGCCGTTGAACCCATGATTATATAATATGTTTGCTTCGATTAGATGATTATCGACTATAAAGAATCGAACTACTATACTGCCGGTTAACTTTCCGTTTATATATTGACCGGGTGCGGTATATAAATGGTGGTGGCCGGAAAACCCGAGGAAGGCTAGGGGTCGTTACCAATCATTTTTCAATTTGGAACCTTTTGGTTTACTAATTTAATGCGGAGCCGAATGAAGGGATCAAATTCTACATTGGAAATTAAATAGAGGGATTCACCCAAATAGGAGTAAATACGGCAAATTATAACATACATCCTCCGGATGTAGCTATACACCTGGTATTTTTGTAATATGCTGCAACTTCATGCCTTTAACTTACGGCTCATGCTCTCTAGTTTTATTTGCTTGTTACGTTAGTTAGCGAGGCCATACCTCTTTCATTTTTCTTACGTTAGTTAGTCACTCACGGGCCATGCCTTCTTTCCTTTATGTTTTCTTTTTTTCTTACCAAACTCTTTCATTAATTTTAATTTATAAAAAATACTCCGTATGCAATATAAAATGTGATTTAAGGTCCTAGATTACTTGTTTTTTTAGTTTCTTTTTAGTAATCAACCTTCGTTATAGTTTAAATATTTCTTTAAATTGTGAGTTATAAAATATTTAAGGTATCTATGTTTTTTTCTATTTTTAATTTCAAGATTAATATTTTTTAATTTCATATTTTTTTTGTTAATTATTTTAAAATTGTGTGTTAATTATTACCATGATTAATTTTCTAACTGAAAAACGATAAATTATAAATTATTTTGCAAGTAAAATTTATTATATTTCTCCTTTTTATATACCGGATATAATGATAGCTTACTCAAATGTTAATAATAAATCTATTATATGTGCATATAATAGAAATGAGCTTTATGTTAAACTTAAAATTTTTCAAATTTTAATGTTATATTCAATTATTATGAAAATGAAAATGTATAATAAAATGTTATTAAATGTTTCAGTTTATTTTTAGATTCATGTTAGAGTTGATTATAGATATAGGAGCACAAACCATGATACTCAATTGAATGTTTTCAATACTTAATAGAAAAGGTTTGATGCTCAATAAAAATATCTTGAAGTTCAACTAAAAAACTTATGATTTTCATATCAATACTCATTTTGTAAGTTACGTTTGTTCAATTTGTACTCATATTATGCTCATTTTTAAAATGTCATATTCATGCAAATTTTAAAAGTTGCATATGACATTAGATTCACATTGTTAGGTTCCTAGTACTGAACCGAATAAGTCTGATGCTCATTGGAAGTGTTTTCATGCTCATAATAGGTCTGATGCACATTAGAAGTTCATTAATTATCAATTAACAGAAATTATGATTTTCATCTCAATAGAGGAGGTTTGATGCTCAATGAAAATGTCATTATGACAAACTAACAAACCATACGATTTTCATATCAACGAACATTTTGTATGTTATGTATGCTCATGTGGTACTGATCTTATGCTCATTTTCTAAGTGTCATATCAATGCATTTTTAAAGTACTATTTTACATTAGATTCACGTCTTGAAATTCATAGGAGTTAATTATAAATATAATTTAATAAGTTTTTTAGTTTTTATATAAGAAAAAAGAACAAAAAGAAAGTGAATTAAAAGTTATGAAGCAGAGATCATGATTCTGAATATTAGACTCATAATACTCAACATAATAGGTCTGATGCTCATTAAAAGTTCATTAGTGCTCATTCACCAGAAATTGTGATTTTCATCTCAATAGCAGAGGTTTGATGCTCAATTAAAATGTCGTGATGTTTAACTAACAAACCTTACACTTTTCATATCAATGTCACTTTGTAAGTTATGTATGCTCATTTGGTACTGATGTTATGCTCATTTTTAAAATGTCATATCAATGCATATTTCAAAAGTATCATATTACATTAGACTCGCATATTGAAATTAATAGGAGTGGATTATAGATATAATTTAATAAGTTTTTATGAAAGAAAAAATAAGAAAAAGAAGAAGAATTAGAAGATATGAAGTACATATCGTGATACTCATTGTTAGCCTCCTAATACTCAATAAAATACGTTAGATGCTCTCTAAAAGTACACCATTGCTCATTTAGCGGAAGCCGTGATTTTTCACTTAAATTACAAAAATACCACCGATTTTTTTTGGCTTGTATGAGTTATTGGGTTGCCTTCCTAAGTTGGGCCGGGTGTACGTACACCCGGATGTACCATATAGGCACTGGAGTAAATACATCTTTAATTCTCAAAACAGGACTAAAAGTGAAAAAACCCCTAAATAGGAGTTATTAATTGTACTAAGACAAAAACACCCTTGAAACTTGGGAACATGCAGCCACCAACAGTACGCCAACCACCAACAGTACGCACTCCCGCCGGTCTCTTGTCGCCGCCGGCGAACGCCACCGCCTCAAAACTGACCGTCGTAGTAGATCCGGCCGCCACCGCTACATATCTGACCACCACCGGTAAAAATTTGGCCATCTCCGACGTAGATGGGGCAATCACCGACTCGCCAGCAACCAGCTCTGTGCATCCGGCCGCTGCCTCCGCAAATCCGGCCTCAGCCGATGCAGATCCAGCCTTCACCGTCGTTGATGCCAACATTTTAGTTAGAATGCCAAACATGGATTGGGAATGCCATCTTAATGGCATTTTCAATGGAAAATACGAAATTTTGAAAGAGTACGAATGCCATTTTGATGGCATTTTTAGATCTAACTGGGCATTTTGAACAAACAAAAAGAAATAGATGAAACAAAGGAAGAAGAAAGAGAGAAATAAAAGACTGATAATCAAGGAATGAACAAAGAAGTGATGGATATTTATACATATATAAACAAAACTCCATATGCGATATATATATAAATATATAATAGCTAAATCCATATAAATCCATGAAATCAAATATGTATGAAATAAGATTAGAAAATACCTTGAGAATTCATTTGCATTAACACTTTAAGAAGACCCAGGAATTCAACGCGATTGATCGGCTAACCTTCCAGTGCTATGTAGCAATGTATATTTTGAGATATCTTAATCCTATAATAGATGGGATATATATAGGACTAGTTCAATATTGTAACGGTTGGCTCTTATTATTCCTAATAATAATTCCTTAATTATTGTTGAAATAATGATATTATTTAGAATAATTTATTAGGCCATTTTCCGTTACAATATCTTTAGTGTTATCTCTAATTTACACGCACCGGGGGTCATAACCGTTGTATCACTTTAGTATAATATATTTAATTTGACCCGTCACCAAAAGAAATATATTATCCTGGTATCTACACTTTTATTATTTCATGAATGGCCACTGTATTATTTATCTGATGGTAAACACATTTTAATTAATTACATATTAGGCCCCTTTTATTGTTTTCCAACAATCTCCCTCTGGGCCTTATATGTAATTCTTAATAAAATGTGTTATCTTTATGAGCTCAAAAATACCATCATAAAATAACATCCTTAAACAATCTTGTCCATCAGGCATACTAATATAGAACCATTGCAGTATTTTGTCATGTTAAACATAACTATACCACCAATGATTACTAGTATCAATATAACATAATGACATAGATCAATCATGAAATGTGTAGCATGAAAATTACATGAAATGTGGCATGTACATGTAAATTTTCAACTGACCCTTCTTTAATAAACTTTAAACTTTAATGACTTAATTGTTCAGAATACACCAAATGTCAAACTTTATTCTGATCAGAAAAAAATACATCAAACATAACTTATAAACTACCACTAAACTCAGTGTTCCTTAAAATCAATGACTCCCAAGTGAGCAGTGTGCTCATGAAAAACTTTTTGTGGGAGACCCTTGGTTAAAGGATCCGCTAGCATGGAGTTTGTACTTATATGTTCAATAACGACCCTTTTATTCTGAACCCTTTCTTTAATAGCTCGATATTTCAC